TGAGTGACCAAACTTTTTGCTGCTTTTTTGTGGGGGTGGGGTCGGGAGATTTTTACTCCCAGAATATGATCCACCAATCAACTAACAACTGGATTCCTAATTACTGCTAGGGAAACGGAAGCGTGTGGAGTAAGGAAACTTGCCTAAGGTTTTGCCCCAACCACCCGGGAATCGAACCCTAGTCCTTTCACTTACGAGGTGAGCGCACTAACCACCACTACACAAGATTCTACCTGAGTCTAGATTTACTCTATTTTCTTAGCATTTCAGAGCTTCTAGAATTCTTAACACCAGTCTAAATGTTGAAGTCGGTTCCTTGTGTGTTCTCTGTGGTGTTGGATGTAGGACCAAGTGAAGCTGAGTTTAGAGGGAAGCATCAATAAAAAAAATTATAAATCTTACACTTCCCCCTTTCACGTCACAAGGAAATCGCAACAGCACTTGACGGGATTTTACTGTAAAGTGCAGTATTTTGCACAGTGAAAGTGAATGAGCGATTATGGGACTAGGACAACTGTTTCAACAATAAGGTTACACCAGGTGAACAACAATAGTCGATTGAAAACAATTTAAACAACACAAAGCAGAATGGTGCTGTGAAATCATATAGAAAGACTGGTCACCTCGACTGTCTATCCTTCCTCCTCAACCCCCACCATTCTCAGTTGTATTTTATTTCAAGATGGTTCCCCGTGTGTTCTTTTAAGATAGCTGCTATCCGTGGTGCTGAAGTAAGTAGAAATAATCCCTTCAAAAAAAAATTTAAAAAAAAATGTGGTAACTCAACCCACAAAATATACAGTCCATTCACTTTATAGTACATTCTGTGAAGCGCTTTGAGACATCTCAACAACATGCTAAGGTGCTATATCAAATGCAAGGATTATTTATTTTTCACTCTCTCTAGGTCTCACAATACCAGAGAGTAGAGGTCAGTCAGCCTGCTCCAGATTTCTGCTAGTCTTGTGTCAGGGCAGGATGAACTCAACTGATCTTCCATCTAATTTCTTTTCTTGTCTCATGGGAAAGTATCAAGCCTCCACTTTGTGCTTCTTATAATAGCTGAGACCTGAAGCTCGCTAAGTTGACTATTTCAGGCACCGAGCCGATGTATTATCCACTGTGAAACAGGACGGGATGTTATACCTCTTGTTTTAAGTGTACCTATAATGGGATTTTCCCATTTAAAGTGCACTTAGTCAACCTCACTGCACTTAGCAACATAATTTCTCAACCCTTAAGATGTTGGAGAATCAATAAACTGTGCATTTTGCATTTATTTGAAGATAGTTTAACAAGTATAATCCTGTCTTGAGCTATTACATTTTCAGGTGTAATATATATTTTTTCTTCTGTAAATACAGTAAATCGCCAACAAAATATACAGTCAATTTCACTTTACAGTATATTTTGTGAAGCACTTTGAGACATTTTAATGTAATAAGGTCCTATAAAAATGGTCAATCCTTCCTTTCTTTTAAATAATTGCAAATAATTTACCTGAGTTAAAAGGCGTAGATCTTAAATTTGAAATAAAATGTATAAGCTTTGGTTATTTCCTCAGTCCAACAACTTGGGCAGATTTTGCGGTGATCATGTGCTCACATTGTAACAGAATGTGATTACTACAGTTCATGGCATTTCGTTTCCACACAGTTGCTTATAGGGAAAAATCTAGCTCACTCAGTCAAACAAAATGTAGAGTTCCTTACAAGACTATTGATCATATAGATCTTGGCATGCCATCGGGTTGACAACATCTCTTTATCCTTTGATACCAGTTGAGTTTCCTCACTGTCATGTCATCAGGATTAATTTTTGGAACAAAAATGTAGTTGTTTATCCAACTAAAATGTACCCTCCAGAGTTATTATTATAGTGATTAGTAAAAAAAATCAAAAGTTAAGAACCTCTTTTTAACAAAAACTCAATACCTGCATTATCCGCACACAGAATTATTACCTTTGACTTTCTGTCCATATTATTGCTGAACTCTTCAACATGTGTCCTTGCTTTTTTTGCTGTCAAGCAAGCCAATTCCCTCTGGCTCTTCTGCTCGGTTGATAGAATGACAGTCAAACACACTAAATGATTAATTGCTTGCAGGGCTATTCAACACAGCAATGCCTCTGAGCTTTCTAATAGCAGCACAAGCCATGCTTTATGTATTGACCAGTATTGCAAATTGCCTCCGGTAGAACTTGTCAATTTGCAACTCTTTTTGCGAGCGTAAGTAGCTGTGGCTGTGCTGGTTTTCTCATGTGGCTTGCTTCATTGGAAGCTGGTACCCGGCTAACTGGCAAGTTTGCTTCAGAGCTGGCGAGTTAGTAAGTTTTAAGGAAAAGCAAATAGCTGGAACATTTTTTGATTGTCGTAAGATTGAGAAGAGAGAGGGCGAAATAGAGGCATAAACAAAATAGCGTTCCCTTTAGTAAAATAATATTTATTTCATGAGAAGACTTGAATTACATTCTTATTTCTTCCCGTTTGGAACAGTAAAATAATTCCTGTTTATAACCTCTGGTGAGTGGCCTCCAGTGACGGCTATATTACAATAACCTCTTTGGCTTTTTCAGTGTAATTTCAACACCAATTTCAACTCTCATTTTAATTTCCAGAATCGTGCTATATAATAATGGGTTACAAAGAGACTCATTGTGAAGAGTGAACATAGGGCAGGATTTAATCAAAGGGAATAATCTTATTGCTTACCCCCAGCCATTTGACAATCTATATATAATTAGACCAGCTTCTTAATGCTCCAGTGAGTTTATTTTATTGCTCCAGAATAGTGTTTGTTCTGTTTGTGGCTGTGATTCATGTAATAGCACCACTCTTCGGCCCTGACATCAACACATTCCCCTTCTTTGTTCAATGTTGCTGACAGATTATTTTTAACTTGGTACGAATAACTCTTATCCTTTTTTTTCCATTTTATGGAAATCATAATCTGTACTTTATATTAAAAACAACACATAACGGGGGAGTACAAAGGTATGGAGTGCGTCCCTGCATTCCAAATAGCTGTTTTGTAAGGGTGGGAACAAACTAGCGGGGCTCAGTGGTCTGTTGCGTGCTGTATGTGATTCTGTGCTCGGTGTAATTGTAGCTTCCCTCTTAGTTTATATTGTTGTCTTAGATCAGTTAAAGCTCGTCTCTTTCCATCCATTCCACCATTCATATTGCTACGACTCGAGTCACAATGAGTCACAGCATCAGCCTTTCTGAAAATCTGTTTTATTTTTTTATTAACCCCTTCAACTATGGAACGCTTCAGGGAATTTCCGTTGTGCCGGCTGGCTGTTTCTCTTTTGCATTATCAGGTTGTGCATGAGTCACGATGTCACAGAAACAATTCCTAGCTATTAATTCCTTGTTATTAATATACCCAGCACTAACTTTTATGTTACTCTCATTGTAATTTTTAAGCTATCGTATGGGCAGAGAAATGGGTGGTATTTGTGTCGCTCCCAATAGGTTGAGTGCGGCTATCTTTAGCCTCAAACAAATTATCAGTGGTTAAAGTGATCCATCACTTAACCTTCAACATCTGCAAGAGAGGGTACTCGAGTGTATGTAGACAAGGCCACAGAGTGATTTCAACTTTAATTTTAATTGAACTTTAAATCTAAGCGCTCCAGGACACTACCCAACGTGAAGGGCGCTACATAAATGCAAGTTGTTGTTGTTAAACTGTCGCATAAATTATTGTAGCAATAAAGTGGTTGCACTCTCACTAAGGACTGTGAGTAAAAGCCTTCTTCATTAGCATTAGAGTCAATTGTAGACTCATGGAGGCAGTGTTTATGTGTCCTCCTCAGTGAATCTATCACAGTCAGTGGCCTGGAAAGTATAAGCATAAATCTCTCGCTGTGACCGCAATATGCCCTGTTCATAATATCACTCCAGTGAAAATCCAGAGCTAGCTTGATGGAGAAGGCTACTCTCAGGCTATCTCTGGTCAGTGAATCTATCTAACATTTGAAATATCTAGCTATTCAGATGAGATGTCTTTCACCATATCTGTGCTTCTCTGACATTTGGTCTTTCCATCTTTGAAAAGGAGGATTTATTTTTCGGGGGCAAGTGGGAAAGCTTATTAAAGTGGGTTTAATTTCCAAACATTGTTTCTGTGCGTTGCTTTTGAGAAAGCCAATGAATATTTATACATTGCAACTAGATTGTCTTCCTTGTCTGTTTTTATCAGTCTGGATGATTAAGCTTCAACTAAAGGAGCCCTGGGATGTATTTACCTCCAGAAGAACCACAGAGATCAATCGATTTTACATGGCATGTTGACGCACGCATCTGGAGGCGGCTTTTATGAAGTAATGAGTCTTCTGAGAGTCAAATCACATTGTCTTCAATGGTTGCCATATTTTTAAAAATTCTCCTTCAAGTTTCTCTCATTTCCTTGTTTGATTCTATGGAAGGTTAACGTGCCTTTAACAACTGCCTGACTCCAAAGATCCTGCAACACTACTCGGGCGGAGATGGGAGATTTTTTTTCTCCGTGTTCTGGCTAACAATCTGCCAGATTAATTGGTCATTCACCTCATGGCTGTTTGTGGGACATTGCTGACGCAAATAGCTGCTGTGTTTGCCTACAAAAACCATCACTGTATTTGACAGTAATTAATTGTGAAGCGCTTTGAAACCTTTTTATATAACATTCCTGTTGCTTTGATTTTGAAGATTGGACAACAAGAAAATGTCAATGTATATATATAACCTGTTGCTTCAGGTCTCACTCCCAATTGCTGAGTGAGCAATGGATTGCATTGTGTGGTACAAAGCCATGGACATTATGAACTCCAAAGTTTGTTAACTGTTTTAGCTGCTCTCTATGGCACCAATAAGTTCTATTTGACCCTACAATTAGGTTCAGTGTCTTTGGTTACAGTGTGAATAAAAACAGCAGTTAGGGGATGTGTGATGTACAATTTGTTAGTTTGTCTTGAGTGCGAGACTCATTAAAACAACTTCTTTCTTTTCTGCAGGAGATTACGTTGTTATGGCAGTGTACTTTGACCTAAGCAGACGGATGGGCTATTTCACTATTCAGACCTACATTCCTTGTATACTGACTGTCGTTTTATCCTGGGTATCATTCTGGATCAATAAAGATGCTGTACCAGCGAGGACATCATTAGGTATGGAATGCTTAAATCCTATGTAACAACTTGGACTTCTATAAGTGTAAGTTGTTACTGATGAGCATATTTTCAGAAGACCAGGAACTTAGATTGTAAGGTTTCTGCAGATTTGTTTCAGGTCTTCTGAACTTGGCCCAAACATTTGGCTGAAGTTGATCACAAGCTTGTCTTTGAACTGTTCATGGAGCCAATAGGGATTGATATTCTTATCAGTCTACGATTGCTAATTGTGCTTTGATACAGATTCTGCTCACACCAAGTTGAGGCTTGAAATGCATTTACAAATGGGAACAAGAAGCAGAAAACAAATTCCCCAAACCAGGAAGTGCCCAAACTCCCATAGAATTCCATCCATTCTTCAACTGGGAGATTATTTTGCCTTCAGAATATTAGATTGTGCAGAATTGTAGAAAATTCTTTGATTCAGTTTTAATTTGAAGCTGGTTCTCTTTCAGAACCGTAGAACTGAATTGAAATAAGCTGCTTTATCCACATATCTTACAATCCCTCCCGGTGCAATTTCATTGCTGAAAAGTAATATGTTCTGTGTTTCCATCATATGGATTTTCATAAAGCCCCTTGTATAACAACTGCTAGATATGATTCTCACCAGATCTCTTTCAAATTTATATACGGGTAGAAACATCAGCCTAATGTAACCTGACAAACTAACTTCCTCAGATGAGTTTTCTTTGCTGTTGTAACAACCGCAATTCCGCCTACACAGAATAATGCAATGCCAGAAGCTCTCGCGTACCTGTTCTACACAGTTAAGGGAAATAGGACTCTTCTGGATCCAATATTTATTCGGTTTATGGATGGAATATCATAATACATTCAGGACTTTTGGTTCTCAAGTGCTTTTTGGCCAAGTCTGTTAATGGAATAACAAATGTTACAGCAACTTATAGTTATTCAAGAAGTGACCATAATAGTGAACTTCAAGTGGATGGGAATGGTTGGCCATAGCAGGTAACCTTTTGAGAGATATTTACGACAGATATTTAGGTTTTGTAGCGCCATTCAACACATGATCTGAAGATAAATGTCTATGTCTTTTGACTGAGTTAGGTGCAGTGATGCAATAATAGTTATCCTTACATTAGTTCATGTCAGGAGGACTTCTCAAAGCGTTTCCCAGATGCACTATAAAGTGGAGTGAGTGTATGTTTTATGCGCAAATGCAACAGCAATTTGCACACAGTAGTGTCTCACAAACAGCCAATTTTATGGTGAGATTCTAGGCCAGGACACTGGGAGAAACTCACTCTCTAGGTAGGTTTAACAACCAAATATTTTCCAGATCTCAATGACATTGATTGACTAATTTATACAAACGTTTTAGTTTCGTTGTCATGATATCTGGTGGGATGTCCTGTTTGCTTTAATTTTAAAACTGAGGCTTTGGCAGAGGTGAGAGCACACCAAACAGTGACAGCAAATATCCTCTACCATAAGCTGATCATTCATCTTGTTCAAACCGCATCCAATGATTACAGATATTTGACATTAATGAGAACAGCTCATTAAAAGTACATGTATGATATAACTTATGGATATGTTCCCATATTTCCTTCACTTCAGAGGTTTTCTGCCAAGTATCTTTATTAATAATTGTCTAGCTAGCTAATGTGAACAGATAAAACTCATCATTCCTTTTATAACTAATTTGTGAGACATTGCGGGGTGCCAATTGGCTGCAACGTTCTACGAAACACACAGTCACCACTCTTTACAGTAAATCATATAAAGTGCTTTGAGATGTCCTCCTAAATCTGAAAGGCGCTATATCAAATGCAAGGATTATGATGATGATGATGATGGCTGCACAGATGTAGATTCTATTGCCTTATTCTATTTGGTTCCAATTCTCAATTTTGCCAGGTAATGGGGATTAAGAGTCTGAGGCAATGCACCTGATTTCTCATTACCCCTCACTGCACTGCGTTTATGATGCTCAGTCTAGAACCTATTCCAAGCATCTTCAGCAGCTCAATCTAACCAGCAATCCAAAAGCAAAAGTAATTGAAAACACTTAACAACAACAAGACATATCTTATACAAAACAGATGCCTGATCCAGTGTACAGAGGAAGAACGTAGAATGTTAGTTTGGATTTAACATTGGATTGGGAATTGTGGCTTGTGCCTTGTCCTCCATGAGCTACCACTTCATATTATTTCTGCCACGCCATCAATTCTTAATGGGAAACGCCAGCAGTTCATGACCGAGCAAACGTATTGCTTACTTTATCTCCTGAACTACCCTGTGTAACCCTGAAGATGTTTAGCTCTCCTGCTTTGCTCAGTTATTCCATAGTCAAGGTTTTAAAGATGTTTCAAAAATATTCCTGGCATTTGCCTTTCCCGTCGGGAGGTAAACGACAAGTTACAAAGTGCTTCAGTTTACTGTAAAGTGCTCTACGAATTGTTTATTTTATTTTTCTCTTTTTAAAAAAAAGTCTTTCAAAACACTGAAGCTATTATATTAATAATTATTTAAATTAATTCATTTTTAAATGTAATTCTGAATTTCCCCTTTTCCCCCCTTTTGTTTTCTTATACAAAATCCCATTGAAAGAGCAAATAACAACATTTCTTCAGTACTTTTATGTCTGTGAAAAGTCCAGGGCAAACCGAGTTCTCCTTGACTCCCCCTGGAGTAATACTCTGTGTGTTGAGGCTCCCACTTTGGAACCCATAAGCGAACGGCTGAGAAACCATGGGATTTATTCTCCCTTTTAGGCAACAAAGGAGTTTTCCCCTTACATGGCATCTCCTTCACCAGATGTTACCATCAGCCCTCGCTTCCTGCCAATGTGAGCATCCACCATTAGGCTATTCCACTTAGATAATGTGGTTCGTATCATTTTACATAGATGAGACATGTGGTGTATTGGGTAAATCCACTGGCGAGAGTGAGAGTGAACCACACAAAACAGGACAAACCATAGGAACAGGAGTAGGCCATTCAGCCCGTCGAGCCTGTTCCGCCATTTAATTAGATAATGGCTGATGTAATCTGATATAACCCGGATGTAATCTCTGATTGTCCTCAGTTTGATTTCTGCCAAGGTATCCATAGGTTGATGCTTTGGATGAAGAGAGAAAATTCATTGATTCCTCCTGATGGCTATTTAATGATGGCCTCTAAGGAATGGATGACGACATTAGCAGCTCACTTATGGTTTCCTTTTCCATAGTCTGCTAACATGTACAATAGCTTATTATTCTCCTGCGCTAGCAATCTTTTCATAAGCATTACAGGATTTAATGGTATTGCTGATTTTAAACATGCAATAAAGAGTTTGCCTGCGATGGCACTCAGCATGTGGATGGACCCAATCACCTAGACTCATACAAGGACAAAGACATGGTCAAAGCACTGGAGGGTAACTGACATTCAAAGAACAGTCTCAAGCATGAGTCATTGCCTTCAGGATAGAGGGAGAGGAATAAACACAATCCATTCATTGTACAATACAGCAGCAAATCAAATTCACCAAACGTTTCACATTATTGGAATTACTTACTATGGAGGACATAATTGGAAACCTGGAGAGAGTGGGCGGGGGTGAAGAGGATGAGGCCACATTTTCAAACACGTTATTAGACATTTATTATAATGCTAAAATATGTTGATCGATTTGTTGATTAAACTGTTTCCCTGCTGATCACGTTTTATTATATTCCAGTTCATTTTAATCCCTCAATTTAATAATAATAATCCCTCCAAAAAAACAAAAACAGTAATAAATTGGTCATTTTCAATCCACGACTGTTTGTGGGACATTGCTGTGCGCAATTATCTGCCGTGTTCGCCCACAAATATACAGTCAAATTCACTTTACAGCATATTCTGTGAAGCGCTTTGGGACGTCTAGAAGACGTGAAAAGCACTATATCAAATGCGAGGATTATTATTATTATTTTTGCACAGAGTAGAATTAATTCAGGATGTATATACTATATAAATCTACCCTCCCGTTTAAAAACAAGTGAAATTTTACCAGCTCAGGTTTATTGATGGAGGTACAGGCTTTTTCCATCTCCTGTTTTTTTTGCTTCCATTAGGCAATAGGAATTTCAGAACTTGAGCATCAATCCATTTAGTTGTCAGCCTGACTCAGTCGGTAGCACTCTTGCTTCTAAGTCGGAAGAGGTTCATACCCCACTTTGAACTCACAGTCCAAGCTGACGATCCAATAGAGTATGTGAGGTGCACTGCACTGATGGAGGTGCTGACCTTCGGATGAGACATTAAACTGAGTATCGGGTGGACCTTAAGGATCTCGCGGCAGTATTTGTGAAGAGAAGAGATTTTCTCCTGATGCCCCAGCCAACAATTCCCCCCCCACCACCACCACCCAGATAAAGTTGATTATTCACTTCATGGCTGTCCACAAATTGGCTGTTGCGTTGGCCTACCAATACACTTAACAATACATTACAAAATACACTTAATACACTTTAAAGTGAATGGTGTGAAGCTCTTTGAGGTGTCCTCCTGACGTGAAAGGCGCTGTATCAAATGCAAGGATTCTTACCAACCTAAGCCTTGTCACTCGCCTTTCTTAACAGTTGTTCTTTCATTGCAGGGATCACCACTGTGCTGACGATGACCACCCTGAGTACCATTGCTCGTAAATCGCTACCCAAGGTGTCCTATGTGACAGCGATGGATCTCTTTGTATCTGTCTGCTTTATCTTTGTGTTTGCTGCCCTGATAGAATATGGGACCTTGCATTACTTTGTCAGTAACAGAAAGCCCAGCAAAGTCAAAGACAAGCGGAGGAATCGGGTACGTACCATTTTCAATATAAGATTATTTTTTTATTCCCAGTTATTATAATTCGTAGCCATTATCAGTGATTAAGAATGTGTTTTGCTGCGGTTTTTAAGAAGAAAGCATTTCCTCAGGAGGGTTTTAAGGCCTGACTGCCAGAGCTCAGAAATCCTGAGCGTATCGGAACCTGCTTTTTAGTCTTTACAAATATGTATAGACGTGGATTCAGATTAGAATGGCATCTATTCTGTTTGCCGCTGGCCATAAATGTAGCATATCATGGGACTGTTGCTTTCATTTTTCACTGCGACAGTAAAAGGACATCCTGTGATTTAGTGCATTTCATTAAGCATGCTCACTTGATCAAACGAGACGAGTTGATCCAGCTCAGATGCTTGTTAGATCTGTATTCACTATAAGATACATGCATAGGAAGTGCTGGACAAACCTACTCCTTAAATCATGATCACTCATCGCCTCCACGCTGAGTCCTTTAACAAGCCTTTCACTTGAACTTGGCTGATTACTGTACTGGGTAAATCTGATGTAGAAATTATATCTTCATACTCATTATTAAATATAAGGCAGTAGGATGCAATTTTTGTTTATTTTGTTCGATTACAAAGATTGATTTATACCCGAGTTTGATTCACATTTTGCGGTTATGGATTTATCTAACCCTGGACTTCAATTGTGATAACTTCAGTCTAACACATTATTAGATGCACAACATTATTCAGAATGGATCTCTGTTGCTTTTGATATCAAATTAAGCTTTTCAGTGCTTGTTCATTCTGTTTAGTTGAGTCCTGTTTCCCCCCCGTATTGTGTTTTGAAATTTAATTTGCATTGTGTGATAATTACGTATCTCTTTACACTTTCATTCTGTTTTTTTGAAAAGCTTCTTCGGATGTTTTCGTCAAAGGTACTTTATTTTTACAATCAAAGAAATACATGAAACGTTTTCAATTAAACTATAGTTGTGAATAGATGTGTAGTGCAATAATTAGAATGTTCATTGTTTGAATGTATGTCTTTTGTTCCTCGTCAGTGGTATGTATACTGTTTATGTGATTCCCGACAGATTGATGTTACCAATGGGGATAATGGTTAAGATCCCAGAGAAATAATACCTTCATTTGGGGACACGTTTCGCCCACAAAATATACAGTCAACTCACTTTACAGTGTATCCTGTGAAGAGCTTTCAGACATCTCGAACACGTGATAAGGCGCTATATCAAATGCAAGGATTATTGTTTTTTTAAATAATTTTGTTCCAACTTACTGACAGGCAGAGAATAGGTTTCCACTAGTGCAACTGTTGTGGCATTGCCTTTTTAATTTAATTTGATTGTCAGTTCCAATATAGTTTATTCAGACTTGTGTGCAGCAGTTATTATAAACCTGGTAAAGTGATTTGCAGATCACTGTAGCAGATGAATGAGTCTGCAAAAAATAATCTCAACTGGGGCTGTGTGTTAGCTCAGCTGTAATTGTATCTCAAGGCCAACGATATAGGCACAGGATTAGCTGGTCAGTTGGGGTGATGGTCAGTGTCTCCTGAGCCAGGGAGTGGAGAATTCAATTTGTGTTCTGCTGTTTATGGACATCTGTTGACTATGCTGCAAAATACATAAGTGTCAAGTTAGGACATGATTTGCTGGTGAGCATTCCCTCTCTGGACTGATATCAGAGGGTTGGCATTAATAATAAGAATCCTTGTATTTGATGTAGCGCATTACCTCGTCTACGAAACACGTCAAAAACACTTCACAAAAAGTATTGTAAAGTGCAGTGACTGTATATCTTGTGGGCGAAACTGAGTCGATCACTACAGAACAGGAAGGTCATTGGGAGAAACAGTTGTACAATCTGTTTCATTAAAATCAAAGTGTGTTCGTAATCTACAAAGTATAGGAACAGAACACGAGGCAAAAACATTCAGAGTTACACGCATTATAGAGAAAAGGTGGAAGCTGGAGCCTTGATTACTTTGCTACCCAGATGTTGAGAGGCAGATCATCAGTGTATGTTGAGCTTTGTGTTACATTCCCATGTATAGGTGCCATATGGATGTGGAATTTTCAGGTTGTTTTGGAGACTTTTGAACACGGTGATGGGTTTCCGCACGTGTCAGACACCCTGCTGACCAACGCAAAAAATGAGCTGGGCTAATGGAACTGCCCACTTCTGGTTTAACGCTGCAATAAATGATGAATTTCCACTGCTGAAATAAAGAGAGCAATTTAGTTAAGTATTAGGGAGTGGATCTAATTAACTTAAGTGAGTGCATATTTTGATATCCCAAACCTCTGAATCATTGTTGGAGCAGGTTTTATTATCCCCACAGACTTAGCTCATATGGTTCATGTCGTTTTTAGTGCCTGATAGGTTTTTCAATTTAAAATGGATCTATCAGTTTTATGAGTGCAACATGACAATGCACGAAACAGTAGTGATATTTATTTTCCAAAATTGCTAAATAGCAGAACAAACATTTAGTCCGGCTGTGTGCAGCACAAATACCTCCAAATATTAATTAAGATAAGCCAAAGGTTCTAAAACTATGCGTGTCTTCTTAACACACACTTGAGGGAAAAGATTGCATTTATCTAGTGCCTTTCACATCGCGAGGATCTTTCAAACTGCTGGATGGGCACCTGAGCAGCCGAGTGGGAGCTGAGTGGAATGGGGAGGTGAAATATGACTGAAAGTGCGGTCAAAGAGATGAGTCTTGTTATGGGCCTTGAACAAAAATAACAAGCGTTTCAACTGGCGTGAGTCAAAATCAATTTTTACTTGAAACATTTAATGAAAGTAAGATCCAGAAGATTGCAACAAAACACAGATCGTCCTAGAAAGTGTAAAAGAAAAACACTGCGAAAAGGAAGATGAACTCGACTTATGTAATAGGAATGGACAAGCCTCGAGCAAAAATAACTTGATGTCAAAGTGATTCAGATTTGCTTATTAGCCAAGCAACCTCCACAATTCCAAAGGTAATTCAATATATTTCTTGACATGCTAAATGTTTATCGACAGGTTAATAGTTGATCCCCCCTCCCCACTGCGGTTGTTATTTGGTGAGATAAAAAATAATCATTAATAACAATGCAATATTGACGATCAATTAATAAAAAAATTAAAACATTTTGAAGTGCGATTCCCCAGCATTGAAAACATTTGCCTCAGCTCCTAAAACTCTGTGTATTTGTTCACTTCACAGAAATGGCTGCTGAACTTTGGGAGACCCTTTTACTCAAAGAAATCTCGGGATTCGAACCATGAACTAGCTGAGGCACATCACCCACAGGAGAACTAGATGGTCACACACCGACCCCTGCACATTGGTTTTGAGGGGCGTTTGCCATTCCTGAATGGCAGCATCTCAGAACTGCAGCAAAAAATAGGAGGCTTCCTACTTTCTGAACCAGTTTCTGAACAGGGGAGCAGATTAGCTGAAAAGACAAGCTCCTCAGTTACCTACGTATTACACAGTATTGTCACATCGCCATGTCCCTGGGACTTACCAGGTGGCATTGACGTGGGCACTTTGGAAAGCGCTAAGGGAACAACCCATGTGCTGGGTAGAGGTCAGGGGTGTGGGACAGCTCTTCACTGTAGCTGTTTTATCCCCTTGTTTTGTGGAAAGAACCTTTGCCTGGTTTGGCTGTTCAGCGAGGTACCTGTGGAGGATCCTGCACAGGCGTCTAATCCTCCTATTGCTTGCCAGAATCTGGATGTTATCCTGAATCATTTTATTGCCACAAAGTCAACTGAGCAAACGGTCCTGACTTGGTTGTTAAGATCAAAGGGATGTCAGAAGTCAATAAATTACAAATTAATGACTTGTTAATGTATCAGCCATTAGACTGATATATGTCAAATTAACACTTTTGTGCTAATATTGCTGATTTGTGTGAGGTGTTTGTTCAATCACGGAGAGATTGACTGGGGTCAGGATATCTGTGGGACTTGCATAGAGCAGAAAACTTTGTAAGAAAATTACAGCTAAATTAGTTAAATGGAGGATTTAAAGTTAAATCTAATCAGAGTAGAAACAAGGTTCTGCGGTGTGTTGCCACAATCCGGTATAAAAAGGGTTAATACTTAGAAGGAAGAGGAATTGTTCGCTCACCTCCTGCTGAAACAGAACATCTGTCTGTGTGTGAATCACAGCTTGTGCCGCGGCACGAGGAAAAACAAAGAATTCTGGATGCGATATAAAAAGGAATGACCTGAGTAAATGAGTAAACAGCCCATTACAGGGTGATTCAGTTAGTGCTCGATATTGTATTGTACCTGAAGTTAGTAATTTGTTAATTCTGGAAAGATTAGGGTTGCTCAAAATATCTGTGTTCCCAAGCACATTCAATGCCGCTGTGACAATGTGACATGGTAGTGCTTCGAGGTCACGTATGTCCCTGGAGCACACACACAGGGAGAGAATTTCTGAAGCATATGGCCAATTTGCTACAACTTGTTGGATTGCGACCAAGTAATAAAAAGCTACGTGAATGCCGGAAGCCCGTTTTAAGAATTATTAATTGTGCAGTTAGTTTCTGTGTCCCTGACTGCTGAGAAGAAAATTCAGCTTGGTTTCCATTATCTAAAATGAGAAGCATTTCCCCCACCATGTGTGTCCTTGCCAGCCATCCTGACATTAAATAGATTGACTATTCAACACATGGCTGTTGTTGACGCCAGTGGCCGATTCACCCTGTGGCCGCCGTTTGAAGGTAATTACCTGTTGTGGCACTTCAATGGAACAATTGCTAAAAAGAAAGCAAGTTCTTACTTATTGACTAATTTCCGATGATACATACAGTATCATCAGTTCTCACTTCAAATTATATCATGGGATCTTTAATGCCCACCTTGAAAAGATAGACAAGTAAGACAGTCAAAGAACTGCACCTCTACATTGCCCTCCTGGCTTGCTGTTCGGATCATTAAAACTGGGAGTTGGTTATAAGTAGGGCACAGAATCATAGAATTATACAGCACAGAAGGAGGCCATTCGGCCCATCGTGTCTGTGTCGGCTCTTTGAAAAGAGCTGCCAAATCAAACCCACTCCCCCGCTCTCTCCCCATAGCCCTGCAATCGTGCTCCCCCAATAATTATCTACTTTTATCGAATTATCTACATTATTGTGAGGTTCGATTGTAGATGGTACATTATATCTCATGTGAGGCTAATCCCAGAATAGCATCGTCACCAGCTGTGTAAAGGTGGATAGCTCAGATTGACTGGAAATCATTAGATACAATTGAAATGCACTTTATTATCAATGAATAGAGAAGCATGTGGATCCCACGGAGCCGGAGCAGAAACAGATCTGCTGGAAATGCACCGCAGATCAATCAGCATCTTAAAGAGGATAGATCAATGCTTTAAACATAAGTCCCTTTGCTATCATTGCTTTGATTTCATGGGTACCCGAGACCTGTTGACCCACAACAACTAGAGCAATGTGAATAATCACAGGTGGTGAACGTGTTGCTTTTCATGGCTTCACATTTTTGTGAAATCCTGTAAAAGCTGACTTAAGTGGAAGAGATAAAAAGAATAATTGTAATCATGTGTCACGTCTCGGTGTGAAACTGTTAATCATCTTCAGGAATGACACTGTGTATTCGTTATTTTTTAAAAGTATTTTTGTGACATTTTTGCTTTCCAAGAAGCCTTAAAATCGTCCTCAGCATTTATCCCAATTTTTTAATGGTGCCTGGAAGAAGCAACTCTATTTTATAAACATTTATTCAGGTATGATTGGAAATGTATCTGAAAAGGGCATTTTTATTGCTGTGGGAAAGAGACTCGTTGGGAAAATAAAAGATCAGAACAAACTAAATTTGAATCCCTGAGAGAAGTATTTCACAACAACAAAAACTTGCATTTACACAGCGCCGCTCATGCAGGCTAGCGTCCCAGAGCGCTGACATTGGCGGAACACGACACTGAGCCGGGTGGGGGGGGAGAGGGAAAGGTGACTGGAAGTACAATTAGGAAGGTCTTCAGGCGCGACCTGAAGATGGGGAAGGAAGGGGCGAGTTGGAGGGATTGAGGGATTGAAGTGATATAATTGAGGGAGAATGTTCCAGAGTTTCGGGGCGTAGCTTATGTATAAAATCCTTCACAAACTCTTCTGTGATGAGAGGGTTAATATTCCAGAGGGAGGAGCTTTAGTGACATTTGGAATTCCAGGTTTTTATCTTCTTTATGACCAGAAGAAACAATTGTCAATCTTTTGCTGACAATAACCTAATTGAACTTTGTGGTTAATTTGCGATAGGCTCCGACTGTTGACATTCGCCCCAGATCCGCTGCCGTCCAGATGAACAACGCCTCACACCTGCAGGAGAGAGACGAGGAGTATGGCTATGAGTGTCTGGACGGCAAGGATTGCGCCAGCTTCTTCTGCTGTTTTGACGAGTGCCGCACAGGAGCGTGGAGACAAGGAAGGCTACACATCCGAGTCACCAAGATTGACCAGTACGCCAGGATCTTCTTCCCTACGGCCTTTGGTTTGTTCAACCTGGTCTATTGGGTTGGCTACCTTTACCTGTAAATATCAAGAGCTGCCATAAGCCTCGGCCCCATCTGGTGCAGATCCATTAAAACCACCTGTAAAAACTAGATCTTCAAGGAGAAAAAAAAACGCTGTAAATTTTTAAGTATCTCTTACACAGATGATTGATTGAAAGTTCAGTGCATGTTTTTTTCTTTCTTTCTTTGGGTCAAACGATCGCCAAAATGCTACAAGATCTTTTTTTTCTATAAAAAAAATCTTTTTTTTCTGTCTCTCTGGCGGACTGGACTGTAATTTGAATGAAATGTGTAACAAGCCAAATCCACCTACTTATCTGTGTGTTATTTGCCTCGTGGCATGAGAGAAACAAATAGGAAAGCACTTTCAGAGTTGAAATTTGCACTAGAATCAGACTAATGAATACCTTTCAGCTTCAGAGTTCTGGTCAGGAGTCCCTGGTGTGGAGGACGGCCACGTGTGTCTCAAATCCAGTCAGGCTCTAACTATCGGGTCTCAACATTTATTTCTTCCCAATGACGTTGTATATTATTTGCTTTGATTTGGGCACTAATGTGCTATTTATTTCTTTTATTTAACAAGAAGGGAATAAAATGCAGTGGAGCCTTATAGTAACTACTTCTGTTTGTCGTTAAAAATTAATCTCACTAAAATCTCTACAATCTCTGTTAATCAGTCGAAGACAAAGGGGCAAAATTCCTCTTCTCAGCCCGAGACACCATTTTGCCTGAAAGTTTGAGATCACACAGAATCGTAGACAGTTCTTCATCTTAATTTGAAAACTGGTTAGTTTTCCGTAGTTCTTAAACATAAGCGACTTCCAGATTCAGATTGAATTTAAAATGTTTCCACGGTTCCGATTGACCTGAAATTTTACAATACAGTGCAATAAAAACTTTCACGTCGGGAGGACGTCCCAAGGCAGTGTAGACACGATGGGGTTACAAGGCTGAGGCTTGGTGGAATTTCAGGCTAACTGGCAGGTCTGTTTCTGATAATGGGATTGAGTTGTAAATCCCTAGATCTATCCATGTCGTTACTTTCTTTTATTGTAATCTTTCTTCCCTCAAACCTAGACATGCGTCTTGGTGCAGATGAGAAGGCTGGCAGATAAATAACCTGCTCCCAGGTCTCTACTGATCCTTATAATGTTGGTCAATGTCCCTCAAACCCCTTCTCTTTCCAATCTTACCCTGACAGCTCGTCCCTGGCCTCTATTTTGAGGGCTTTCCCGTTGGGAAAGATTGGGATATCTGGCTGTTTGGAATGACAAGGCAATGCTGCACCATGCAGCACGGCTAAGCTAATTGGTCAGCAAAAGGTATAAATACCTAGCCACATCAGGCTAGCCATGATAGCGCAGCAGACATTGTCCCCATGTTGAGACCACTGACCTTGAGGTCTCCAATCACTGCACACACCACACTTGCATGTTGCACTGTTACGATATTGATGTACATCTTGACAGTTTCATGCAACGTTTTATACAATTATCTGTAATTATATACACGATTGTAACAGAACGAACTCTGCCGGATGGTATCAATAAACTGAATACAAGCCTGGACTGGTGCAGTAGTGATAGACTGTTCACTTGTGGCTATCAACTGGAACATGAATACCATTGATTGTGCTGGAATGTTGCTGCAATGAATGATGATTTCTCATTGCCAAACAATCATGTGCTTTATAGCTCATTGATTTTAACTCGTACCACAGCCATGATAATGACACGTACAAGGCACTGTGTTTGGCAGTGTCGTGCTGTGATTTAAACCTTCATTTCGCTTCAGTTTGAGATATGCAGGTTATTAGCGCCTTAAACATAACGAGTGAGCTCAGAAATGAAGCCGGGAGCAAGCAAACTCAACATGTCATCCCACCTCATAGCCAGGGTTTCAAAGGAAGACATCATTGGTTGTAGAAGCCACGAGATGCAGGACAACCACAGAGGCTGTAATTACAGAAAAAGGTAAGTGCAAACACTTTTTGACACAAATAGCAAATGGATTTGACCTGGCAAATATGACTTTTGTGACCTTTTCCTGAATTATATATTTGAATGCATGTATAGGAACCAGAGATTATTGGGTAGGGGACCAGCTTTGTGCAATTAAGCAGCCTCCATTGTAATGATTCCCCCAAGTCACCCTGATTCTAAATAGATAGTGAACTATACATTACACATCGGTTTGTTGCACTATTAAGGGCACCTGTAATTCCTCTGTACCCATGATTACAGGTGATGCTTAATTAGACTTCACAGAGGTTGCTGTGAACAGTCACTTCTATTTATTGGCTCCATGTAACTTTGTGTTTAGCTTTTTGTCAACTTTTTTCCTTTATTATCTGTGAATACTCATCACTTTATGCTGTACCATTGCCACGTTTTGCCTGCAAAGTACACAGTCACTTGCACTCACAGTAAATTCCTGTGAAGCGCTTTGAGACGTTTCGATGGCATGATAAGGCGTTATATCAAATACAAGGATTTCTTATTATTATCAACTATAAGGATTAGTATTCTTTGATGACAACCTCGTGATTTTGTGATAATAAAACTTTTTTTTACTATTTTAATGAAACAATTCCTGGAATTGCCTCTTGCTTTGCTGTTGCTCAATTAAATTCTGTGATTTGAACATCCACCTTATGTTTGATATTTTTTGCTTTTAAATCCAGATTGATCAAGTCTGTTCACTGAAAGTATAATAAAGGATGGTTCCTCTGAAACACTCCCCTATATTGTAAACTTTGAAAAGCCTCAACTTCTCAAAAAACTAACAAGATCTGAAATTTCAATATTGAAATGTGTAATAATAATATTCATCATCCCAATTGGATTGCCAGAGGCCAATAATAGCAGGAATTATTGCTTCTATGGTAAGAAAATGGAAGATAATGAGGATTGTGGGGTTAAAGACCTCGATAATGAAATAATACTGGATAACAATAGTATGTATTGCCAATTGAATGTCCAATCATTATTAAAAAGCTCAACAGTAGAATTGAAATGCTACATTAGACATTAAGTCCAATTTTCACAAAGCATTTCAGATCCAATTTCTGTTAGTATCCGCTCGCAATGCATATGAAGCACTGAACCGTTAAGAGGTTTTAGTAAAAGCAGGACTAGAATATACACCGTAAACTGATATTCCTCACAGGACTGTCGAGCTGTTGAATAGTAGAAGATCAATTTTATTTCAAACAATATAATCTAAAGCCTCTGAACTGTTTCCTATCAGTGCATGGGATTAAATGGAAAATCTAACCTTGTCATATTTAAGGAAGTTCCCCGTTGCTTATTTTAATGAGCATTTTAATGGGTTTGGAGTTTGGTTTAACAGAGTTTGGTTGTCGGTCTCCAGTGGTGGAGCAATACTGCAGAAACATTGAGAAGCTACTGTAACTATCTATTTTATGATAAATCAGATGGGACAGTGGTTATTAGGGTTGCTGTCACAGTATCTGCCACAAAGATATGTGGTTAAAATGGTTGAATCTTCATTAAAGATAGGCTGTTGAATATTATATCCATCATTGAACATATTTTTTTCAAAATTATGTAGTTCCATTTTAAAAAGAGTAGTGACTCTGGAATAGAGTTCCAGAAAATGGCTGAAAGTCCGCTTGCCAATGGTGGAGGAAGAGTGGAGGAAAGAGAAAAAGACTTGTGTTTGATCCAGCTCACTGCAATCAAACTACAGGCTAGCAACTAGCCAAATGACTGGGATGAATGTGGAACAAGTTTATGACAATGATATTAGTGCTGGAACTGAAATCTAGACAAATTGGTTGACCCAAGGTGTCAGAGATGTCCATGGAACCACTAACCTCCCAAGGGCTCAATAATTTCTGACACTTATTGTGATGTAATGGGATTTTCACCTGCAATGCAATTGTAAAATTGCAAAAGTGTCGATACTCATCAAGGGCAGGGAGCTGATTGATAGGTTGTGTCTGACCTTCGACCATTGTCTGCATAAACATTCAAGAATCGAAACTTACTTCAAAAGGAATAGTGTGTGCAGCCTTGAAATTACTCACTGTGATGTATGGTGAGAGTAATGTTCAGCCTGTAATCTAATTGTGGGCGTTAATTGTTCTTAACCAGACAAACTTTAAACACATGGTTTATGATAATATCAGAATAGCAACATGGGAACAGGAGTTGGCCATTCAGCCCCTCGAGCCTGTTCCTCCATTCTATAAGATCATGTCTGATCTGTACCTCAAGTCCAATTACCTGCCCTTGCCCTATAACCCTTGATATCCTGATCTAACAAATACCTATCCACCTCAGCTTTTTGATGACAATTGCTGATGCTGAATACACAATGGAATTGCTTTGAAATGAACCACTCGTTGCGATGCAATGCTCCGACCTGGCTTTGAATATTGTGTTTGTACTGATCTTTTGATGTTACTCCAAAGCTAACCTTTGCATTGCAAGAGAGCAAACCCATCAATGCTAACACACCATGACAGGAAAAGTGACCTTTTACCAGGTCCTACCCAGTTGGCATGTTTCAGTCATCAACAGACAACATGTCCTGTGATCCTGACAAGCAATCCAACCCTCTTACATTGCCAGACCAACCTGTACAATCAGCGCTTCGAGTCGCTACCCCACATGAAGGCTCTATGTTAATGAAAATTGTTATTGTAAAATAGTGACCCAACCTTTTAGGAAGTGAGTGACATTGCAGCAAAATCAATATTGAACCTTATTTCTGGACCTCTGATCTTTTCTAAGAATTGCAACTAGGAAACTAGGATGTATTGGGAAGCTTGTATTTCTTTCAATTGATATGAAATCAAAACTGTTACCTGGCGAGTTTCAGAATGCGCTAGGTCATTAGTAAGAAGTGCCTCGGTTGTTGAGACTCTCCCTCACCATCACCTCCCCCACCCCCCACACCACCTCAGAGCACAGCAATGTCCCACAAACAGCCATGAAATGAGTGACCAATTTTATCTGGGGGATTGTTGGCCATGACACTGGGAGCGAGAAATTCCCTTCTCTTGTCAAGCAGTGCTACAGGATCTTTACCACTAACCTGAACAAGAGACATCCGTTTAACATTTCATCCAAGAGAAGTCACTTCCAACAATGCAGTGCACTCCCAGCAATGCAGCCTGGACTATGTGTGTGTATAATGAAAATAAATGAATGTCACCTGCAAAATAGGGCCTATTACCCAAAAAACAAATACCAGGTAATAACAGAAGAAGAATGAATGAGCAAGAAAACAATAACTCCATAACTAAGGCAGCTACCTCATGTCCTGATATGTCCATTTATCATTATGTT